AGAAAATCTGTCAAAGTGACATCTCACACCTGGTACCAATTTCTGTCCTACTTTGCTTGGCTGCTGTGATAAAACACTGACCAAAAGCAACCTGGGGAGGAAAAAGCTCATTTGGCTTACACTTCCAGATCCTGTTCACATCATGGGAAGCCAGAGCAAGACCTCAAGGCAGGAACCTGGTGGCAGGAACTGAAGCAGGTCCCACTGGGAAATGAGAAGGCCACTTACTAGCTTGCTTAGGCACCTTTCTTACACAGTCCAGGCCCACCTGCCAGGGATGGGCTCCCCCACATCAGTCAAGAGCACTCCCCAGACATGGCTACAGGCCAGTTTGACGGAAGCCATCCCTCAAGTGAGCGAGGCTGTGTGAGGTTGACAGTGCATGACCTGGGGCCCCAGACAACAGTGTAGTATGTCCCCAAGGTGCAGAAAGGGGCTTTATGGCTCAGAGGTCTGCTCGTGCCACCTTCTGGACTTGAGGCTTTCCTTTGTTTTTGTTTTTGTTTTTTTTTTTTGCCTCAGTAAGAGGGTTACCCGATATTGAAAATGCTTTCCAGAGATCCTTGTCCCCCCACCCCCCTATTCCTCTCAAGGGCATGCAGTCCCAGCTGATGACTGATGACGAATCAGCAACCCCTGCCCCCTGCCTTTTTTCAAACAGCTCAAGACTGCTGCCCACTGTGCTTCTCTATAGAACTCAGCACCTATCTCAGAGCCCAGAGCTGAAGCCCAGTCCAGCAGACCCCCCAGACAAAGGCCTCAAGAGGTAAAGGGCAACCCAGTGTCCCTGTGGCAGCCAAATTCACTTCAAGTAGGCATACAGGACGAAGAAGGGAGGGCTGACTGAGAAGCAAATGGGGTGAGGGAGAGAAAGATGGGAGGATGAGGCCTCCCACCATCAGGACTGGTTGGGGACTATCTAGGGTTTGCTCACAGTGGGTGATGGCTCCCTGGCTAGATTGTCTGTGTTGGCCATCTCACACTTCCATCCCCTCAAATGTGGGTAGGTATATGTTTGGGGCAAGGGGAGGGAGGCTCTTCAGGGTAGAGGAGCTAGAATCATCTCTCCCAGTGGCTTCAGTCCCTGAGGATGTCTGTTGCCAAAGCACCAAGGGAATGTGACTCCTGCTTATGGACAGCTGTGGATCCCAGTGTTTTCATGGCTCAACCTCCGGCAGTCTCCCCAAGCCTTCAGCGTAGTGGGGGTGATGGGGAGGCACCCCCTCCCTAGTCCTGCAGTGATAGAGGAGGCCCTCTCTGCCTCTGCACACCCCCTCACACGCTTTCTGAACTGTCACACTCACGGCTGTCTGAGAAACAGTGTAGCTGTGCACACATCAGACTGTCCTCATGTCTGGACCCTCTCCAGACCCAACAGGCACACTGCACACGAGAGCACGGACGGGGCTGACTTGCAGCAGCCTGTCAAAGGGCAGACCACACGGCACTGACTTCAGCCACTCAGCCTCATTACAGAAATGGGGCCACACGCTGCCCACGTTACACAGCCAGGGAAGACTTCTGAAAGAGAAGTCTGTTGGACCCGAAAGAGGGAGGGGACCGACTGTCCAAGGGTCGGGTTTGTCTGAGCCTTCTCCTGGGAACACAGGCCTGTGCTAGAGTTGAAGAGAGCTTCCTCGGCCTGCTACCCCTCCCCCACTTTGCCTCCAGCCTTTCTCCAGCCTGTGCTCTGCAGCCATTTCTTGTCATTGCTGAACAATAGGCCTGGCTGGCAGCTGGCGTCTTGGCCCTGCCTGGGAGGTGGGGGAGGTCTGAGGCAGCCAGCCTGCTGCAGAGGGTCCTGGCTCCAGGGACATGTGTTGCCCCGTGCTGCCTGCACATGACAAGCCATCCCTGATGCCTTGAAGGCTGGCACCTGAGGGCATTCAAGAGCTTTTCACATCCTTGAGGTCAGCTGTCCAAGGCCAGCCCTCCCACTGTGTGGACAAACGGGGAGAACCCAGTCTCCTCTTGCCCCCAAGGAGATGTGACTGACCTGGAGTCTCCCACAGACAAGGCGAGAGCGCCTGTGAACACTGTGGGGGGGAGGCTCTCCTTGCTAGCTAACTGCTGGTCCTACTGGCTGTTCCCCGACCCCTGCTCCTTAAGGCAAAGATGTAGGTGCCTCAGGAGTGACACCCCCCCAACACAAACCCAGGAAAACGTTTCCAGGCCTCCAGGCTGAGGCCTGGGTGTGCTGTGCTAAGTTGGAGATCTGAGAGTGACAGGACTACACTCTAAGCAACTTAGAGGGCCAAGACAGAAGCACTTCCATGCAGGTGTTCGAGACCAGGGGATGACACCTGTCTCAATACACACAAATAAAACAGAAACTCATTTAGGGCTGGAGGGGGAGAGGGGAGCAGGCTTGGTTTGGGTGACAAAGGGTGTGAACTGATACAAACTTTGGTAGCTGAACGCTACCCCTTGGAAGCCATTGTTACTTCCCTCTGTCGCTTTTCACAACAGGTAAATCAGGCCCCTTTGAGCAGAAGACCCACTCCCAGACCCCCTACCCGGATTGAGCTTTCTGAAGCTGTCCCCTTCTGTAAGGCTTCCTCCTCCCCAGCTCTCTGTGCACTGGTTCCCTGGGTACTGGAGCCAACTATCTTTTTAGAGGTACATGTCCTTACTGAAAGCCCTGAGCCCATCTTGTCTGCCACTGACACGCTCTTAAGGATTGTTTGGGTTGCAAATATCAGACGTTGGCAATGTGTTTCTGTAGAGGGCCAAATGGCAACTCTTTTGAACTTTGAGAGTCAATGCAACTGTACCTGCTCAGCTGTGCTGTGGAGGAAGACACCAGCCCTAGGTGACACAGCTAAAGAAGGCACGACCATATGTTGGACCAAGTTACCACTTACTGAAACAGGCAGTGTGTGGCCTGTGGGGTGAGGTGTGCCAGACACCTGGGGAAGAACTCTGGGTTTCTGTTCTTCAGAGCTGCAGTGTCACAGAGAAAGCCTGCATGCAGCTCAGCTGAAACCTGGGCGGGATTTGCCAGGAGCCTTTGCAAAGCCTGGAGGGAGCCCTACAGGAGCTGAACAGGAGACTAGCTTTCATGAGGGGGATGTGGAGATGGATTCGTAGACAAGCATCTGAGGCTGTTCTGCGGATGGAAACAAGGTGGGGTGTGCTGGTGTGTGCCAGATACGGAGCTATGCAGGTGACGGGCCGGAGCCCTGGAGCAAGCAAAGTCGGCGAGGAGCTCGGGCCCTTTGAGTCTGCAGAGTGAATAGCCCGCCCCGCCTCCCAGCCTTCCCCGGCCTGTTTTCTCTCTGTTTTTAAAGACAAGGTCTCATGTATCCACGGCGGAACTCAAATCTTGAACTTCCCATCAACCTGCCACTTCTTGGAAGCTGGGATTGGCGGGTGCATACTATCGTACCCAGTTCAAGTGGTGCTGGGGACAGAACCAAAGGCTTCCTGTACTCTTCCCAGTGAGTGGTGGCCCAGCTTCTCCGGGGACCACATGCTGGGAATAGTTCTGAGCACAAAGGGCCCTTAAGACATTCTTACCTTGCTCTGGTCCTGCCAGTGTCTTCAAAGGGCTTTAGGGGCTGCGGCTGATCTTGTCCTTGTAAACCTGGAGGTCGAATGGCTTACCAAAGTTGCACCGCCAATAAACAGCAAATGCTAACCATCTCAGGTTTGAAAAGAGACCGTGGTTTCCAGCTGCCTTGAGAGGTCTCCACTGAACCTCCCTGTCTGCCAGGGCTTCCAGGACAAGGACCCAACCCAGGCAGCTTCAACATGAGCAGCTGTTTTTCTGGAGGTTAGCAATCCAAGATCAGGATGGGAGCAGGTTATTCCTGTGAAGGCTTTAAGGGAGGCTTCCTGCGTCATCGCTAGTAGCTTGCTGGCCACCTCCACTATTCCTTAGTTTGAAGAAATACCGCCTCATCTCTGCCTGTCTTCCACAGCATCTCCGTGTCTGCACAGCTGCCGCAGTAAGCTTTCTAATCTCACTCATCTGTAAGACTGTTACTGAAGGAAGCACATTCTGGGGTCCTGGAACTTAACCTCTGCAGAGAACAATTCAACCTATGGCCCTCCCCGCACTCTCCATGTCCAAAGCTGACTTAATGGAGTAGTTATTTTTCAGGTCTCTCATATCCACCTCTGTGGCCTCACCGGCTAGCAGCGACCCAGTTGTCAAGGAGTGTCTGGATATACCCACTCCAATTAGCCCGAGAATGGTAAGGTGGTCCAGACTAGCCTTAACACATGATACCGAAAGAGGAAAATCAGTGACAAATGATAGCAGCAATAGTTGAGGGCGACAGAAGGTATGGGGTCAGAGAGCTGGAGAGACAGGAAGGTGTCAGGGGGAACAAAGAGACTAGAATTGAGGCACAGGCTTACTGTTTGCTTTTTGAGACAGGGTTTCTCTGTGCCAAAGCCCTGGCTGTCCTGGAATTCTCTTTGTAGACAAGGTTGGCCCCAAACTCAGAGATCTGCCAGCTTCTGCCTCCCAAGTGCTGGGATTAGAGGTGTGTGTGCCTGGCTGGGGCAGTCTTACTGCCTGGGAGCTGAGCTAAACCTGACAGGGAGGGGCCAAGTGGCCTATTGGAGAAGGCCAGGTCCCACGGAGAATGGCCAACAGAGAGAGAGGCCCAGTGCTGAGACAACAAGTTCTGGTAGCCCTAGAATTTCAACGGAAGCCCAACAGTTGGAAGAGTAAGGGGCTAGCCACAAGTTTTCAAGTCCTGAGTGTGGGTGGGAGATCATCTCAGGTTAATAAATAGTAAAAGCTCTGGAAAAATTCTGGTAAAAATGATGTCTGGTGAGAGCTGGGTCAGAGAAGGAAAAGGAGGCCAAGAAGGGATGGAGAAGCGGGGGAGCAGGAGGGCACGGTGGTTTCGGAGATTAAGAAGGCTCGGGAGACCTACAGGACTTGCGTGGATGGAGCACACCGGGGCTGCAGCCACCCTGGTGGGACCAAACAGTCACAACACGAGCCTGTGGTACTCTAGTCAGAAGAAAACTGTAAACACGTCTCATCTTTTAACTGTTTATTGTATAATATAAAACTACAAAAGACTGCTCATTTCCATGTACATTTAATCTGTCCAATTGTTTAGAATACAGCCTGAATGAACCTACATTGAACACAGCCCTCTGGGTTCTGATGTGACATCTGTAATATTGCATAGAAAAGGCACAGCTCTCAGGTCTGTGGGGAAAGGTCACACCTCCTTCCAACAAAAAGCACTCCTCAAATTCCATGCCCCCAACATGTCCCCATGTACACCTTCAACACTTTAGTTGTACAGATGGACTACTCTTTTCTCCCCAATTCCCCAGAAGAAGTCCAAAATTTGTATTGGCTTTGTCTGCAAGAGCATTTGACCCTGGCTAACTTTTGAGAACCATGTAGACTCACTCTTGGAAGCACTGGGAACAACCAGGTACACGGGCAGTTGGACACCCTGCTGGCACCCAGGTGCAGGGCGGCACAGCTAGGATGCGTCAGAGATGCTCTTTCTGCTACTTTCAGAGATGTAAAACAGTCCAATTTGTAAGAGCAAGGTTTCAAAATTAAGACAATTCACAGAGTAGAGGAACGGTCGCTGCACAAACAGTCTTTTTTTTTTTTTTTAATTTGTCTGTCATTTAAGAAGGCTGCCCTTGCAGTATTCATAATTCATTGTTTACTGCAAAGGCGGTAATAAATTTAAGCTTTAAAAAATGATCCGTAAGTTGATACTTTGGCTCTTTGGAGCTTACGTCATTGATTGACCTCAGGACAGTTGGGGCTATGGCAATAAAAAGCTCAATTGCTAAGAGTGGTGTGGGAGGCTGTGGTCACTTCTCACCCTTTGGTATGAAGGTGGGCGCCTGTGTGTCACCCCTTCTGTCATCAGGTGAAAAGTACTAAGAAAATTTTAAAAAATTATCAACCCTTTTATGCTTGATTTTCTTAAAAATTTGGAGGTATTAAAACATTCCTCATCCACACCTTTTGCATATTTTAAATAGACCCATATTGGAGATGAGAGTAAAAATGAAAATGGACTGTGTATCTGATGAAAAGACAGGGTGGGGGCTGGCTTGGCTCCCCCTTTTAATACAGATTTACATTCCTACAAGAAATACATTCCTACCACACATTCTGCACCATACCACCCAGATGTTATTAGAGTGCCACAGTAAAATAAATATATTTACACAGAAAAAAAAAAGGAATAAATAACTTATGGGGAAACCATTACTTGGAGTCTCTCAGGATCCTGTTCTCACCCTGTCAGGCCATTGCACATCACGGCCCATAACCAGCTCCTCAGGCCTGGGCACCGCAGGCTTCTGCCTGGCTCTGCATGCCACAAGACTGTCTTTGTGAAGGTGAGACACTACTGTCAGGAAGTGTCTAGAAGCACATCCCACACTCAACTTGGGACTCAGGCATCTCACTCTGGCTCCAGCGCTTCCCTTTTGGGACACTGCTTCACATAAGTAGGACACAAAGATAGTCTTAACTCTTGATGGGCTTGCTCTTCCTGAAATGGGCCATTAGCTAGCCATGCATGTTTCAAGAATAAGTACATGCCGGCGTTGCTGGAAGTGGGTGTTTTGGTTTTGAAGCCCAGCCTTACAAATGCACTAGAGTCAGAGAACCAAGTTTGGGCAATGTTTCTCTGTGCTTATTTGAACTGTTGCCCAACATATGGGATTGTTTAAACACACGATTTGCTAATCCAACAACAGTACAGTTGTTCTAAGTTACTGTAAATCAGTTTTTGACAACGGCAATCACCTGCTTTGTGCCGTTCTCACTGGGAATAATCAACACTACTGTATGTGCACAGGGATGCAGATGTGTGTGGCGCGTGGCCAGTTCACAGGTCCTCCAGTTCTAAAACACAAAGCACGGGCAGACAGACCTGCTCTCCACAAGAAAGAAAGTTCTTAGAGCGGACAGGCACAATGACACTGGAGCATCTACACAACCCTCACCTCTTCATATGGTCCCTGGTCCTACATCAAAGGAAACACACACGTGTAGCGGTGAGAGGTGTGTGCGGAGGTGCCTGAGGGAGAACACGTACAGATGGACCAGCTTCTTCTCTTGCTCTACAGAGCTGACAATCAGCCTTTCACACATTCAAGTGGGGAAAGGGTAATAGAATATAAAAAGATATTAGTCACACCATACACACATCTTTTGCTTGGGTGAGCAGCTCCTTCATCACACGCACATTTGCTTGCCATGCGCATTATAAAAATAAAACTATCTATGGCTTGTTTAAAGTGCCATTTATAAACGTATCTTCTTAATCGGCCAGAAAGACCCAGTTTTATCCATGGCAAGAAGTGAGCAGAACTGGTGACTGTATACTGACAAATGACCAACAAAGACAACAAAAACAAAATCCCATAATTTAAAATTTTTAAATAAATATAAAAGTTCTACCTAAAGAAGCCGTCTGCATACCAATATACGCTGTAACGTGCACTCAGCAGCTGAAGTACCGCCGCAAGGAAGGAAAAGCTGAACCAGAAAGGCCATCTCAGCAACGGCCATGATACACTGAGACTATTACAACGGGCAGCGGTGGGGGAAGGACGACTGGAAATAATGAGCTGCTTAAGGGGCCGAGAGACAGAAACATGCACAGAAATTCCTGTCTATGTATTTGGGAATAACAACTCAGTGAAGTATAGTTAAATTAGCAGTTAATTAAGGAAAGCGACCATACTGGACACCGTGCCATCAGGTGACAGACTGAGGCTCTGGCTACAGATGTTGGGAGAATGCATCCCGGCTGGCTGAGGTGAGCAGAGCTCACTGTGGTGATCATGAAGATGCCATTTGCAGCTCTTAGCAACAGAGGGAACAAAAGCCCCAGGGAAAGGACACTGGGAAGGGCAGTTCAGCAACATGATGATGCCTTCTGGAGAGTTTCTTCTTTACGAACCCTAAGCTCTAAAGCAGGGCTCAGCTCCATGAAGAGGTCAGTTGCTTGTTGTAAAATTTTGTTATGTAAAATTGTGGTCTCATCACAAAAGCTATGCCCAAAGGGAAAGACTTGGGTTTTCATTTAAAAAAATAAAATAAAATAAAAACAATGAAAAGAGCAAACTTGGCATAAATACAGTCTTTTTTTTTTTTTTTTCTTTTTCTTTCTTTCTTTTTTTAATCCACCCCTACCTTGAGAAAGGGTTCTTACTGTATAGCTCTGGCTGGACTGGAACTCACAAAAATCCACTGCCCCCGCCTCCCAAGCGCTGGAATTACAGGGGCACGGCACCACAGCCGGCCACAAGTGATTCAGCCTCTGCTCAAAAGAGGGAGCTGAGGAGCCAGGCCACACCAACAGCCATCTCCTGGCCAATTGCTTAATGCGAGTTTGATGAGCCCGCAGGGCTCTCTCTAGCTTTGGGAGTCACGGTGCTGGCTGCTGGCAGGTGACTGTGCCAGGGGCTGGTGCTTGTGAAATTTGGGTGTCAGATCACCTGGCCCTTTATTAAAGCGCCGTGTGTATTTGCATTTGGGGGCATCAACTGCAGATTGATTTGATCCAATTTTCTCTTGCACCATACACATATAAAACATTACAACTCTATAAAAGTACAAGTACAACTTGTACATCTTACGTTTGCAGGAACTATGTGAGCAAATCCTATCAAAATAGCTATCTCATATGTATAAACAGCATTTGTTTTTAGAAAAACAATATCATAAACTGCAGAATCTGTACAAAAATATAAAATAAATTTGGGCAGCAGTTTTCTAAACAGCCATGTAAATGCAACACTTACGAGGAGTTAATGCCTCTAAAAAGGCTGAATTGCCAAGTCAACTCACACAGGGCAAAACGCCAGAAAAGGTACTGAGATTACCCAAGTAATAGAGATATAGATTCTTTTTTTTTTTTTTTTTTTTTTACCTCTTGCAATAAAACTTATAGAAAAAAATAGACAAATATGCACATGCAATTTACAGCTTTTCCAACTTAATCCCTTGTGCTTCACTTGAACTGTTCATGTTCACCTTTTAACATTAGCAACACAGTCTTCAAATGTCTTCTCTCCTACACCAGGGCAGTAGGTCTCTGAGGAACCTACCCAGCAGAGTGTATTAAAAGTGGTCATACTCAAATGAAGGCACTCCAACTCTGCTTGAAGAAAATACTAGTGTGATACTTTTGTAAAGTGTTCTTCTCTGAAAAAGGCAAGCAAGGTACATGCACAGTGCAGAAAAAGTGTCTGTCGGGGTTGCGGGGTGCTTGCGCAGTCACGGGGTCCCAGGTCTTAGGATCCAACAAGCACCTCCATGATGTGGTCTAGCTCTGTGAGATCCATTTTGAAAGGCTGACTCGGGGCGACAGGCTGATTGCTGTAGGGAGCTAGGGTCTTGAGGAGGTCATCAGCTGACACAGGGGCCATTTTTGAGGCTGTCCCCGATGCAGATGTGCAGGGGTCAAAATCATACATGGATGTGTCAATGTCAGCAAATAAGATGTCGTCCAGGGTCAGGTCTGTCAGGAAACCCGTGGACGTGGTTACTTCAAAATTCCCAGGCAGAGAGTCCATAAACCTCGAGTCATCGGTGCGGCTTTCCTGGGGCCCCTCAGGTTTCTGGGTGCTGGACTCGCTGGAGGGTCCTTTGGAGCCATCAGGGGCCGCCGCGGCCACCGCGGCCTCCGTGGAGGTAGATGTGGGACAGAGCTCCTCGATCTCGTCCAAGGCGGAGGAGAAGCTGTCCTTTTCTGGTGGGAGGGCTGGGGAAGAGAGTCTGGTAGGGGCTGCAGGGTGCACAGGCTGCAAAGTGCAAAAAGTCTCATCGTCATCCTCTAGCAGGGAGGCAGGGGTGAGGCAGGCCTCCAAGGGTGTAGTGCTTCCTAGGTCACAGGGGTGAGCAGGAGCCGAGGCCAGGTGGGTGAAGGCAGGTGGGGCCTCCCGGTAGCTATCGCTCATCGAGTCGCTGGGCTGGGAAGAGGGGCTGAATGCAGGCCTCAGGCTGCCTTCCTGCTTGAGTTCCTCCTGGATCCGCCTCAACATGTTGTTAATTAAGACAGTCTTGTGCAAGCTGGGCTCTGTCAGGGGCCTGTGGTTATACAGTTTCATAAGGGAAATGTTGAAGATAGTCTGGCGCTGTAAGGTGTAAGACACCCTGGACGGACCATCGGAGGGGGACACGATTTTGCCTTCCAGCCCATCTTCATGCTCATCAAACTTCCGTTTTCCTCCTTTCCCCAACATATATCTACAAGGGAGAAAGACAGGAAATAGCATGAATCACACGAAGGCTAATTTTCACCATGAGAATGCTGACTTGGGTTAGGCCTCGTCAGCCTAGTCTCTAACCAGTTACTGGGGAAGACCCTGTAGACAGACAAGTAGGACATCTACCCTTGTGTGCAGGCAGAGCAATTTTTGTCACTAGGTAATCCTGGCCAATGCACTGTGTGAGTAATGCGTACAACACGACACGGGGAAGTTAGGAGTTACCATGGCAACCGTGATTTTTACTTTCTCAGCTCATGTGCTTGCGTTCGCATGCCTAATGTTATCACACAGGTTCAATTTCCCTCCCCCAAATGGATGTATTTTTAAAGCTCAAGAACAGACAACGGCACAACCTCAACAGGCAGAGGTGTCATAGATTACAGCTCCAGCACAACTCAGACAATCGCAGGCATCAAGTTGGAGATGGGAGAACACATCATTTTGGTAGAACCGCGTGTGCTTTCAAAATGTTTTCTTCTTGCTCATTATGCACAAAGCCTTCCTGCCTGCCGGTACACATGTCTGAAGCACTATGCTAAGTGACCTCGGGGACTGAGCTGCCACTGCCTTTCATTCTAGACTAAGTGGTGGAATGCACGTTTCCTAGCCTGGGCTCCTGCGTGGCTCCATTTCCCAGCACACACCTGTGTATGGATGTGGTTGCTCTCAAGGGAACCCGGCTACTAGGCACTGGAGTCATGTCCTAACAGCCACCTACAGTGTGACTCCAGAGATTCCTGGGTATTTGCAAGATATAAGGGCTCTCCCCCAGACCTGGAGACTCTGGTCCCTTTGTGAGCACTGCTGTCTGGCTGGTGGCCCTTCCTAGTCCCCATACTCACTCTTGTCACCGACTTTCAGAACTTCTGCTATGGATAAAGCACTCAGGACCAGCCTTTGCCCACAACGTTTATTTGTTTTTGTTTTACCCTTCCAGGCAGGCTTTCAATATGAATTTTGGATTTCGTTACTGGATGGAACTCAAAATCCACACACCTCAGCCAACCAGGTGCTGGTTTACAGCCACAGGCCACTATGCCCAGCGCAAACCCGCTCTCCTGTTTCCAGCAGAGGGAAGAGCTGTCCTTCGGCTGTCCTGTGCAGTTCTCAGTAATCCAGGACCACTGCTCACTCCTCTCTGTGAGTCTCAGCCCTGGACCCACATGAGCCCTCTTCCAAAGGCTTGGTAGTCACTCCATTTCTCCTTGCACTGCTTATAGCACCTCCTCATCCCTTCACTAATGCGCACTCTACATCCTCAGTCCCAGGTGGGAAGGGTCACCACACGAATTTCCTCCTGTGTGGCACAGCACGAGCCTTTCAAATTCCAAATCTAATCCTAAGGGAAGGCTCACAGAGCCGTTACCCTTCACTGGAGTTCCCTTCAATACTGTGTTTAAAGGGCACCCGTGCTGTCCACCCCACAAAGCAGACATACAGGAGGGAAGTCTGGCGCACAACCCATGACGATGCCCGACTTCTGCGGCAGCCTATCCATGCCAGCTTCTAAAGAATGTGGAATTACTTGTATGAAATCGTAAGCATTAACAAGGTGGGTATCAATCGTAAGGACCCAAGACCAGTCTTGCGAGCAGCATAGTTGTTTTCTGAGACAGGAGGGACTATAATCAACGGGCTTCTCTCTCGCCTCTCAGTGCTCCTACTGTTCAGTGGGCCTCGATTTAGGTCTACTTAGCATCAGACAGTTCCTATTTGGAGTATCTGTACTTGTTAAAACTTGATGAAGTGGAGAAGTAGGTTTTGTTTTGCTTTGTTTTGTTTTTGAGACAGGGTTTCTCTGTATAGCCCTGGCTGTCCTAGACTTGCTTTGGAGACTAGGCTGGCCTCTGCCTCCCTGAGTGCTAGGATTATAGGCCTGTGACACTGCACCCAGCTGAGAAGAGGTAGTTTTATTTCACTCTGCAAAACACAACCCATCAGAAGCATTACCAGACCCTGGATTTTGAAGAGATACACAATTACATGTGTATCTGCTTACAATTTGAGCACATACACTCCCAGGGGGGGAAAATGTTTCTCTGGCTGAAGAGCTTGTAAGTGCGTTTAATTTGCACACAATATTATCTGATCTATGCTGTTACCCTGTGATCAGGCCACTTAAATGTAAGTTCACAAATATGTACATGCACACCCTAGACCAGCATGTCTCACACTACGGTCCACAGGTGGGGCTGGCCTGTGAACTAGTACCCATTCAGATGAGGTCAGCAAAGACACTGGATTACTTAGGGAGTTTTACAGCAAAACTGAAAAGTAACTGTTAGGTCTGAAAATCTAATCCTAACAAGCCCAGCTTTTACAGGTGCTCTTTCTCATTCTTTAACTTTATTTTTCAAATAATTGTGTTTGTTTGTTTACTGAAATTCACAAAGGACTGGGTAGGAGGTGGGATATCAAGATGACCTATCAACACAGAAGTTTGAGAAACACTAATATTCAGCTATAATCAAATGAAAAACATCTCGCCACTTGGCACTTCTACTGATTTTCTAAACAAAGATAACCTTAGGTGGCGCAGAGTGAAGACATCCAGTCACTAAGGTAGCGCTGAGAAGAGGCTCATCGCCAGCCAGAGTAAAATGGTACCTCCTACAGTTTCTGCTGTCTCCTCCCCTCCCTTTTTTCTTCCTCTCCATGTATTTTTTTAAATGAGATCTCTGCTGACAGACTGGTCTAAACCTCTAGACCTAGTAATCTGCCTTTCCTAGCCTCTTAAGTCACTGGGTTACAGAAATGCACCACCTTAGTACTTTTTCAATAACATACTTCTTTTGAAAAGACTTTAAAATTAATTATTATGCTGGATGAAGTGGTGCATGCCTTTAATCTCAGCACTCAGCGAGTCAGATGTAGGCAGATCTGTGAGTTGCAGGCTAGCCAGGGCTCCTTGGTGAGACCGTGAGTTGGTGTGTGTGTGTGTGTCTGTGCATATGTGGAGGAGGGGACAACCTGGTGAACTGAGTTCTACCCTTCCACCATGGGCTCTCTCAGCAAGTATTCCTGTGCCTTCTTGTTGGCTTAATAACACATTTCTTTTGGAAATAATTGCCACTTACTTCCACAGAAGTCACACCTAGGGGCTGGAGAGATGACTCAGGGTTAAGAGCACTTGTTACTGTTGAGACCCAGGGTTCAGCTCCTAGCACCTCCATGGTGACACACTTCCTGGCATTCAGCGGAAGTCCCACAGCTGGCAACATACGTGGAGAGAACTTCAGACACTTCAACCTGAGTAGCAGCTAACTTACAACCAGAATGAGCCATCTGGTCAGAGCTGCACGCTCCCCCGTGGTTCAGGAAAACCTGTGGAGAGGTTTCCGTAATGCTGCCTGGGATTGGAGGGTGCAGAGCCCCTGTAAGCCAAGTCCACCAACAGGCCTAGGCAGACAAGTTGAATACTGGGTCTTCTTCATGGGTGTAAATAGGGACCTTTGACTTACTTTCATTTTTTTCTGTTTTCTGTTGAAGCAAACAAAATTGGCTCCACACACCTAATGAGATTGCAAAATGCACACAACGTAGTTAAGTCATAAAGAAAAACAGAAATGCAACAAAGCCAAAATGAAGAGTCCCACAACTCTGGTTAACACAACAGTCCTTTCACTCTCAGGGCTTTGTATAACCAGGACCTCCTTAAACACAACATGATGCAAAGGCAAGGCACGCACTCACGCATGCACGCCCTCAAGAACTAGGCAGCAAGCAGCCGGGCGCATGGTCCTTTCTGGCCACTGTGCCTGGCTCAGGCCAGACTGGGCCAGGATAGCCAGCTCCTCAGAAGCCTTTTTCAGACACTCTGAAAAAATAACAATGCTTTTTAAGTGCTGTTGGAGAGGCACGTGACCTCTCAAAGGCCTCACAAGGGGCAGCCTGCAGAAGCAGTAGCCAGAGCTCATTAAGGGATTCCTGGGTGAAGGGCTCCAGAGTCATGGCCCTCTAGAGACTCTTGCTTCCCGGGCTCCCTGGGCTTCAGGGTTTCATGCTGTCAAAGATCGCAAAGACCCAAATCCAAGAGCCAAATCTTCTAGTCAAAGACACAGAGAGCTGCCAGGGGTCAAGGCTAGAGGCACCTACAGGGTAATCAGGTGCTCGGCTCCTTCCTTTCCTCCCATTACCCAGGCCTAAACACTCTCAACACTGCTTTCCTACTGAACATCCGTTGACTTCTGTAAGGCTGAGATAAAATGTGGAGCCTTCCAAATTGTTAGGAGCAAATTCCTGACATTCTGCACTCAAATCGAGGCCTGGGCTCAAACTCACCCTCTCTCATGCTGGGCATGTGCTCAGACACTGAGCTACGCCCTCAACCCAGTCAGTACTTTTTAAGATTGATGCAGCACACTAAAATTAAAAAAAAAAAAAAAAAAAAAGAACAAACACACTGGTAAGAGAGCAAACAGAAATGACCTATGTGTGCACCAGACTTGGCCTCTAACGTGCAGCTTCTCACCCAGAAAGAACCCTAAGGCCCAAAGCTACATTCTGCTTAATTAACCCCAGCACCAGGAGGCAGGAGCAAGTGCATCTAGGTCTCAAATAACAACAACAAACAGCAACAGAAAAAGGACTATGTTTTGTTGAGGCCGATGTCCCAAAGTAACAAGTGTCAGTACAACTTTCCTCAAAAGACGAAGGTCTAGACTCTAGAGGGTCAGAAAACTCTCACTTGCTACCCTGCTACCCAGGGTCCCATCATTCCAGGTCCTGCATAACTCGCTCAGTAGGGAATATGAGAGACCCTCTGCAACAGGCCTTGTGGTCCCATTTGCATGTCTGTCAACTACCTCCAGACTGCAAGGCCCCCAGAGGCACAAGACAGCCTTCTTCACCTCAGTACTCTTGGTTTAGGGACCTTCCTGACACCAACATAGTTCTCAATAAGTGAACAGTAAGTAGAACAAATGAAAAGACACAGAGGGCCAGCAGAAAGGTCTGTGTGTGGACATCTGTGACTAG